TCCATCAAGTAGCAATACACGTGCAAATAAAAGCTAACGAGATTCTGGAGAACGCATTTTTTCGCGCTTGGATTCCACGTTCCTACTGGTGAACGATCTCTTAACTTTATACGAATAGGATCGGCTGCAACACTTCTGTGTGTAAAAAATGAATAAACCATTAATTAAAGTCATTAATAAACTATTCGTTCGTATAAACTACAAATCGCGGAGAACGTTCCGAACAAATCGTTGCCCGCCGAATTACAAAAGTTTGAACAAATGAAAATGTGTTTCCATTCGGCGCTTCTACAAACGTCTGAAGAATAATCATAATGAACGTAAGAATATCTTGCTATGCGCATTCAGATCGATGCACGTTTCGCTTGAATACGCATACACGTCCTCGCAAAGATAAAAATTCTTGGACCAACATGAACTCGCAAGACATTACTGCATGAAATTTTAGAACAATGCAACTTACAAGGCAACCTGTAAAAAGAACGTGGCATCTAATTAAGCATTTTTTATTCGAGAAGGTCCCTGGCGAGAAGGCCCTTCTTGCATCCAGCATAGTAGAATCGCTCCAACTTGAACTTGGGAACTACAAGGTCAATTCGCCAGCACCGAACAGCCAATTTAATTGAACCCAACCCTAGCTGCGCGTCGTTAAAGCAAAGTATGATAGATTAGGAACAGTACGAAGCGTAGAGACAGACGAGGAGAACCTTAGGAAAATCTTCGTTGCAGCGATTAATCGTGAAGAACGAGAGTGCCGAGGCATCTTCGAGCGGCTTAATTAGATGAAACGAACCGGCCCTAATGCATTCAATTGGAGCAACGTTTCGGTCGTCGGACCCGATGTGTCACTCGGACACGTTTCCCCAACGGTTCGCTCTCGTACAGGAATGGTTACAACAGATTCGCGCATGTAGAACGGCTGTTTGCCCGTAATTGATTGATTAAACGCACGCTCGTACTACGGACTGCGTAACGGCGTGCGCAAATAGCACCCGACGACGTCTTTTTTTTCTTCTGTTATTCGTTTCGAAATGGTAGCTCGCATAGGCCACGGACGCCGGTGAACGGCCGATCGGAAGTCCCGTGGACGTAAGACCTTTGAAGCGCGATCGAGGAACAAAGTTTCCGGAGCATTGTCTCGTTAACACGTTGACCGCCATCTCGGTTATACAGGGTGTCGCGCATTTTTCCGTACAGGGAGCGTGTAATACAAGTAAAAATTAGACTGAAATGTTATAAATATAAATATAATAATAAAATATAATTATATATAATATAATTATATATAATATAATTATATAATTATAATATATATATATATAATATATTATATATATAATTATATAATTGTAATATATATATATAATATTATATATAATTATATAATTGTAATATTATATAATTATAATATAATTATTATAATAATAATTATAATAATAATTATAATAATATAAATATAAATGTCATAAATATAAATGTGCTAGAGTCCATAAATGCTCGAAGTTATGACAAAAATAGGAAACGCGAAAGACGCGATAAAGCGAGGACAAGAGACGAATTAGCGAAGAGATTCGACAAAATCGCAAGCATGAAATCGACAATGAATTCAGTAATTCGTCGATGACAAATTTGCGTCAACAAAGGCGAGCGTCACTTTGATATTTTATATTGTTCATACATTGTTCAGAAAGTGTATTTCACAAGCGAAAATAAGACTACAATGTAATACAACAAAAAGTTCCTAAACGCTTCATGCATAATGATAAAAAATCCGATGATCCTTCTATAAGATTAACGTTACTTTTATTATAATATAAAAAATATACAGTTATAGTTTCATACAATTAACTTTGAAACAAATTGAAGACATTGTAACAATTTCCTATCGATTGCTCAAATTTCTTTCTTTCTCTGAGAACGTCCTGATACTTTTCGAGGAGAGTGTACGTATATCAGAAACTTATTCGACAGATTTGTTCCATTGTACATTCGCTACAAAAAATTTCGCTAAATATCCGAACAGCTGCTTCTAGAGCTCCGCAAGCTTGTCGTCAAAGATATAAATTCGCCTACGCTTTCTGAAATCCGGCAAATTTTGTATTCGAAACACAAATACGGGATCCTCAAGAAATCTGATTCTTTGCGAAACCGAAGAAGAAGGACTTGTCCAAACAATCAAGATAATCCCACGGAGTTTCTCAAGCGAAGAAAAAACGCCGTTAATGCACGCATTTCATGCATTTCTATTCGTTCGCGATCTCCTGGGGGGTCTCGGCTCGAAATCGAATGTCCACAGAATCTTCCGAGCGGTCGACGCTAATCTCCCTTTCACGCGTTTACGAACGCATTCTCGTCAGTCGCGAGACATTTAATAAGGGGAACGATTTTTACAAACGAACTCGATTGCATCTTAATGAAGCGTTCAGGGCGAGAGGGGCGAACGAAGGGAGAAGCCGGAGGAGGAAACTACACGCATGGGAGACGATCAGAAAACAACGATGGCCGTGCATAAACAATGCAAGACACAGTTGACTCTTAATTAGCGGCATGCCTCGGATCCCGAAATCTGTCGCCCAATCCCCGTGGAGAACGAATCCATTCGATGCCAGATGAACGAATGATTTTAACGAGGCTAGGGTAACTTGATTATTTTCAATAGTATTTATTATTTTAATAGTAATGCTATTTTCAATAGCATTCAGCTGTATGCAAAATAGGCTCGACAATTTTCTTTTAAATAATAACTTCAAAAACTATTATTACATAATATTAACTCCTTGTTATACTTATATACATATATAATAACCTATAACCTATATACGATAATTATATGATAACTGAACAGGTTATTAAATTATATATAATTATTTATTATATATAATTTAATAAATTATATAATAACAATATAATAATATAATATAATAATAATATTATATTATTATATTTTTTATTATATTATATAATATATAATATATAATATATTAATATAATAATATAATAATATAATTATATTATTATATATTTATTTATTTATTATATTATTATAATATTATATTATAATTATAATTATTTATTATATATAATTTAATAACCTGTTCAGTATGAACGTCATTCCATTCTTTTAAGTCGGAATACAATTTTGTTCCCTCCCTTGTCACCGATATTTAAACATTCAAGTAAACGTGGACAAACATATTACACATAAATGTCCTTTCTCTTCCAAGAAACGATTACAATCGAAAGGGTTCTAATGACCGTAACTGTGAAGAAAATAGCGCCGCGAGAAGTTGATCGACATAATTTGTTAAATTCTGGATAAGATTATGATTCCTTTGCACCGCTTGCAAAATGAAAACAAGAAAAGCTAAAGATCGATGGACACATATCACTTGATTTCGCTAAAAGGGAACTAAGTTCCTCTAGTAAACATTCTAAACGTCGATAATAATAATATCTTCTCGGCCGAGTAACTAAATAACTTCCCTGTTAAAACNATTATATATTAATTAATAACCTGTTAAGTACGAACGTCATTCCATTCTTTTAAGTCGGAATACAATTTTGTTCCCTCCCTTGTCACCGATATTTAAACATTCAAGTAAACGTGGACAAACATATTACACATAAATGTCCTTTCTCTTCCAAGAAACGATTACAATCGAAAGGGTTCTAATGACCGTAACTGTGAAGAAAATAGCGCCGCGAGAAGTTGATCGACATAATTTGTTAAATTCTGGATAAGATTATGATTCCTTTGCACCGCTTGCAAAATGAAAACAAGAAAAGCTAAAGATCGATGGACACATATCACTTGATTTCGCTAAAAGGGAACTAAGTTCCTCTAGTAAACATTCTAAACGTCGATAATAATAATATCTTCTCGGCCGAGTAACTAAATAACTTCCCTGTTAAAACAAACGGCCGTATCTTTGTGTTCTTATCCAACCGATTTGTTATTAGGTAACCGGCGCCAGTAACGTTCCAGATTAGTTATTTATAAGCGCTGTTATCGTGTTTAGAAAGTAAAAAGAAGCTACGCGGTTTAGCACAGTTGATAGGTGGACAGTTGTTGCGCGACGACGCCAATATCATACGTTATCTCTAGCGTTTCACAGCGAACGTATAAATTAGAAACTTCGCTGCCGGTGCGTACACGAGAAGTAAATTAGACTTTTTCTTCGATCGGACTTCTTGCAACCGCGTATAGCGTTTCGCAGGGTTTCTTTCGACGTCGCGGATCGTCGTGCGAGAACTTCGCCTCGATATGGGAGAGGGGGTGATACTTATCACACATTATTATATAATTAATTACCTGCGAGAGCTCGCTGGGAATTCATAATGTTGCACTTATATGCGGTATATGCATATATGCGGTTAATCATCTCGTTTAGCATAATTAGGAAACGCATTACCATGTGCGATCTTAGTATGACCTCTTTTAAGAGAAGTGACTCGATGGCAAATAATTTATTTTATAGCAAGCTCGATGTTTCTAGTTTCATCTTTTCTAGGACAGTATTAAGTCGCACCAATGTCATCAATGTCGAAAATCATATAGATCGTCCCAAAATTATGGTACTTCCGTGAAATTAGGGGTTCCTGAGGTCATTTGAAGTAACTTTTTCCTCAGCGAAAATGCAATCCGCAGCTTCGTTTACGAGTTATTAACGAAAAACACTGACCAATCGTAGAGCGAACGCGGTCAGCGCTCCGCCCTTTCGGCCAATGCCGCGTCGCGCCGGCCGTCTGACGCAGCGGCAGTGGTCACGAGGGCGGGGCGTCAGCCGTACGCGACCTCTCATTGGTCGCTGTTTTTCGTTAATAACTCGTAAACGAAGCCGCGGATCGCAATTTCGCTAAGGAAAAAGTTGCTTCAAATGACCTCAAGAATCTCTCAGTTCCCAGAAGTACCATAATTTAAAAATATCCTGCATATCAGATGCCGTGAACAAGAGCTTGTTAGATTTATTCAGAACCGCAACGTATTTTTGTTGTTCCAGGTCTCCCGGATCTACAAGGATCAATCGATCGGCAACGCCATAAGCATTTCCGTGATGAAGATCGTGCAAACCGACCATGAATTCGCGCCGAGGGATCCTGCAATGAATGGATCCTCGGCTGCCGACATGCTGAAAAACTTTTGCGAGTGGCAGAAGTACAATAATCCCGACGAACCGTCACCGGTACACCACGATGCGGCTCTCCTTTTGACGAGGTACGTTCCGTTCGTCGTTTTACCAATGGAATAACAAATTTCCAATTGTTTCCGACTCAGAAACGTAGCAATACTTTCGCGTAACGGTAACAATACTGTACTAGAAAAATTTGTTGAAATCGTAGCCAATGAAAAATTTTAGCAGATCATGTTTCATAGATGCAGAAATGAGCTCCTTCGATGCGTCGAAATCGTTCGATGATTCGCTCATCATCGATTTATTTGCACGAGAAAATATTTCCAGGGAAAATCTGTGCCACGATCCGATGGAGGTGCGTTGCGACATTTTGGGTCTGGCCGAGGTTGGACGAATGTGCTCCCGCAAATCTTCCTGCGCCATTGTTCAGGATACCGGGCTGGCCGCGTCGTTCACTATCGCCCATGAAATCGGTCACGTGTAAGTAGAACTATCGGAGGCTGCAAAAGCATTCGGACTTTCGTAAATAAACTCTTATTCCGGTCGAGATTGGCTGCCGAAGGCAGTCCAAGCAACTGACACCAGCTGGCCACTCTATAAATATTGTAGCACATAGGAAATGTACGATCAGTGCTGAAAGATGCCAATGCTCGATTCCTACACGAAATTTTAATCAATACCCGATGAAGAACGATTAACTAATTTAATTTAACAATTTTGTAAATTCGTTCTTTAAACAACAAAGCTTAAGGTAAAGCGAGATAAATTTAATGTGATGAATTATCATGATTATATTTAGTTTATGATATATTATACTATATATATATATATGTATATAATAATAATACTATATAAAAATAATATATACTAAATAATAATACTAAATATAATCATAAATATGATATATATATATATATATATATATATATATATATATATATATATATATATTAATAATATATATTATATTTATTTTTTATGATTATATTTAGTATTATTATTTAGTATATATTATTTTATATTAATATATTATATTATATTATATATATTATATTTATTTCATAATATATTATGATTATATTTAGTATTATTATTTAATATATTATAATTTAATATTATTATGTATTTATATTATTATTATTGGCTTCTCCCAAGCTAATACAAATCGTGTAAACACGCTATCAGCGCAAATCTGTCTAATTAACACAAAGAATTGATAAGGATTAATCGAAGAAAACGATCGTACATTTGTGCAACAGCGTCGACTAAGAGACATAAATCGCATTACCAATTTCAGATTAAGTATGCCGCACGACGACGACAAAAAGTGCGAGAAGTTCAGAAACAGTTCCGGCCTGCACAACATCATGTCCAGGGTGCTGGACAACAACACTTTCCCATGGAAATGGTCGAAATGTTCTCGGCACTTCGTCACCGACTTCCTCGAGTGAGTTGTATTACTTTGACGGGTCAACGAACATTCCGAAAAGTGTCACGTTGACAAATTAACCCTACGACACGGTGACGCAGATTAGGGCTTCGCCTGCCACGTTAAGATTTACTTATTCTTCATCAGACCGATGTGTTCACCCGCGGACCTCTTGGCAGATCCTTCGGACAGAATCGAAACGATACCAGTTGGAATTTGTTTAAATCGATTCTCAAAATAACCCTTTTTCGGCAGCCATTTTGCAAAATGCTAATCGAACTGTGTGTGCCAAATAAAGTATTATTCCTATCTTTTATTTTTTCATTCAACTTTGCAGAGTTTTAGTCAAGAGATCGTATAATAATAATAATATATATAAATATTATTATTATTATTATTAAATCGATTCTCAAAATAACCCTTTTTCGGCAGCCATTTTGCGAAATGTTAAGCGAACTGTGTGTGCCAAATAAAGTATTATTGCTACTTTCTATTTTTTCATTGAACTTTGCAGAGTTTTAGTCAAGAGATCGTATAATAATAATAATAATAATAATAATAATAATATGTATAAATATTATTATTATTATTATTATTAAATCGATTCTCAAAATAACCATTTTTCGACAGCCATTTTGCAAAATGCTAATCGAACTGTGTGTGCCAAATAAAGTATTATTCCTATCTTTTATTTTTTCATTGAACGTTGCAGAGTTTTAGTCAAGAAATTGTATAATAATAATATATATAAATATTATTATTATTATTACAATAAAGAAATTGCTATTACGCATAGCTTTGCAAAGAAACATTAAAGAAATGGAAAATAATAATAGTTATTTCTTTCTATCTCTATATTCTTGCACTTCAAAGAAGCTCTTTATTAATCAGTTTAAAACGACGTTCGTCTAAGATTAATAACATGTCGATATTTTCATCAAACTTAACTGTTCTAAATGTTTCATCTGTTCGAAGAAGCAATGTTCGTTTTTCGCCGTCGATGCGTAATTACGTGCAATAAGGAAAGCGGTTTGCGTAAATTTATTGGTCCCTTCATCACGGTTAAATTATTCCAATGCGCCGATTTTTGCAACGTCGACCAGCTTGAATCCTGCGTTCAATCATCTAAGGTTCTCTCTCTCTCTCTCTCTCGACGAGCCAAGGCGTCATTCAATGAATTCGGCCCGTCAGAAAAGTCGGTGCAACGAGTTTTTCTGCAATGTCAGTAGATCCGGCAACCCGACGGCTCTACACTTAGGAATCCGGTTCCGCTGGATTCTAAATGAGCCGCACGCCCCGGATCCCATTTGTTACCGAAAAAAAATTTGGTCCCCGATAATACGCGGAGGCCTCCGAGGGGCCGCGAGGAACGATCTTCGAGCCTGTCGAAATTTGTTTCAGGTCGTACGAGGGTACCTGCTTGCTCGACAAGCCCGATCAAGTGGAAAATATAGACATGAGTAGACTGCCCGGTGAGAATTACACGGCGGACCAGCAATGCGAGCTGGCCTTCGGCGAAGGGTCCCATGTCTGTACCAAAATGGTGAGTCATGGTAAGTCACGCATTCTGCTAAGTTCTAAATAGGAGTCGGACGTATCGGGAGCTTCTATTGCGAAATCGAGTTTTCATTCTCAAAGCTGGCATGTACAAATTTCATTATCCATCTTTGCGACCTATCGATCATTCGACATTATTGCGTCAGTTTGGACATTAGCGGTAAAAAGACAAATTAAGCTAAAGATTGAGGGTTTAACGAGAGTCGGATGAATAGGTGTCTAGTGGAAGGGCGGATGTTAGCTGCGTCAGGAAAATAATCAACAACGACGGAGAAGTGGAGAAAGGACGTATATGGTGGACAAATTTTTACCACGTCTTAATTGTTCAGTTTTAATAGCATTTTGTGCCACTTTGCGCTTTATTGTTCATGGAAAAAATGTATTGTTTCTTCCGAAGAATAAATGACTCGGATCGAAGGCAATTAGCTCCATCCCCAATTTAGTGTTTATAGTCGATGAACTACTTTCTCATTGTTGCGCTAATATTGCATTTCTCAAAATGGAATAAGAGCGTATGTAATCTTCGTTCAAATATTTTTTGCATCTTATTCTAAAGGGCCATTCGATGGACCCTTCAAAAACTCCTTTCTGGCGAGTTTCGATACGATATACCTACACTTTGTCCGAATTTTTAGCTACGAATTCGACGTTTAAAAAGAATCGAACATCTTAAAATTGCTAAATTCATATTTAAGTGATCACAATTATATTTTCGTACAGTAATCATCGAAATAATACACTGTTGCTGTAAAAATATAAACGCGATCACTTCGATACAAATTCGATCGCTTCGAGTTATATTTCTCAGATTTTTCGGACTGAGTGAACATTATCGAATTTTCTTTTACATTTATTAACCAAATATTTCATCCTTGCTAAACAGTGTAATATTTCGCGAAAAACTGCATACAAAGATAACAATATAACTTCGAGGTATTCTAAAACACAAATAGATCAACCAGAAATATAAACGCGATCACTTCGATACGAATTCGATCGCTTCGAGTTATATTTCTCAGATTGTTCGGACTGAGTGAACATTATCGAATTTTCTTTTACATTTATTAACCAAATATTTCATCCTTGCTAAACAGTGTAATATTTCGCGAAAAACTGCATACAAAGATAACAATATAACTTCGATGTATTCTAAAACACAAATAAATCAACCAGAAAGAGTTTTCCTTAGAATTTGATCGTACATTTGGCCGCCTTATCCGACACTGTCCCAATTAAGAAACGGTACATACGTATGCTCTTACGCTAGACACCCGTTCGAATAACGAGGGAAGCAATGAATTGAAGCAAGGGGTGCATAATGAACGCAGTGCTCAAGAATTGAGATAAACTGAGCGGTTGGTTGGTTATCGGCCAGGCAGTGTGCAGGAGATTATGGTGCACCGCACCGAAGTGGGGTCATTATAACCAGTGTCATACCGAGTACATGCCCTGGGCCGATGGGACCGACTGCGGTGGCGGCAAATGGTGCATCCGCGGCGAGTGCGTCGTCCGCAGCATCCTCGAACCGGTCAACGGCCAATGGGGTGAATGGGGGAGCTACGGCGAGTGCTCGAGGACCTGCGGTGGTGGCGTCCAGAAGAAGTACCGCGAATGCAACAATCCTCCTCCGCAGAACTATGGCAATTACTGCGTCGGGGCTCGCGTCAAATATCGCAGCTGCAATCTCGAGGACTGTCCGTCGGGAAGTCCTGGTGTAAGGTAATTGCGGACAGAAATTGCGTCGTAGAACAACTTTCTATCTCGGGTACAAGTACACGCTGGTCCCATCAGTTCCGATTGATTCGTAATAGCTGACAAGAGCTTCTAGACTTGGTTTAACAAAAAAAATATTGGGTTGGCAACTAAGTAATTGCCGATTTGTTCGATGAAATAAAAAATTTTTTTTTTACTTGGAACGAAGTTTAATCTGTAATGTATTTTCCATTTGTTCGATGACCTTTTTTCATCTCTCTGACAACTTGAAAATTCCACGCTCCTAGAAAGTCTGATCCTTTTCGGCCAAAAACTGAGTTAAGTGAGATTTTACAGAGTCATCATCGTTAAAAGTTTTACCACGAAGGGAGTTGTCCAGGGATCGAAATAAGTGGTGATCCGATGGCGCGAGATCAGGGCTATATGGTGGGTGTAACATCAATTCCCAACCAATATCCATCAATTTTTGCCGAGTGGACAAAGACGTGTGCGGCCTAGCATTGTCCTG